CCACCCAAACGCCCTGCCCCGTTAGAAGCCCCGCCCCCCCAGCCCCGCCCCCCCCCCCGTTCATGTCCAGCTGGAGGCCTGGGGTCCCAGGCCAGGCTGGGGGCACAGGCTGGGATCTACACACCTTCCTCGCAGCTGAGAGCCAGAACTAGGGTCTTCTTCCCAGAGTCAGGATGGGTGAGGCTTTGTCACATGAGTTCCCTGATTAGAAGAGGAATTGTGACTTTGACCCTGGAGAGCATGCGTGTGTGTGTGTGTGTGTGTGTGTGTGTGTGTGTGTGTGTGTGTGTGTGTGTGAGAGAGAGAGAGAGAGAGAGAGAGAGAGAGAGAGAGAGAGAGAGAGAGAGAGAGAGAGAGGGAGAGAGAGAGAGATTGAGGGAGGGGCTGTAGTCAAAGAGAGCACTCCTGGCAGAGGGGAGTGTCGAGTGAGTAGTGAGTATGGCAGCCGGGCCAGTGAAGGGCCCCAGGTGGCTCAGCGCTGGGTGGGGTGTGGGTGAGAAGAGGCCGCAGAGGCCCTAGCCAGAGGGAGAGGGCCTGAAGACCTCCACACTAAGCCCAGTCAGGGTTGATTTCCTTTCCACATACCTAAAATCTGCCCGTGCTGGAGAGGCTCCAGATATTTGGAAGGTCCCGGGTGGGTCAGAAGAAATGATAAACAGATCCCCCAGAGAGAGAAACAGATCCCCTAGATCGTGGGGGTACATCTGTGGAAAAGGCAGGAACCTGGGCCTCTGAGTTCCCAGCCAGGCTTCCTCTACCTCTGCCCATCCCTGGCAGCTGACAGGCCCCCACTAGGAACACGAACAGAACACACACGCAGGTTCACGTTCACTCCGCCCCTGATAAATGGATATGCCCTCTAGACACACCCATTTAGCTTCTGGGAAGGGTGAGACTATTTGCACGAGGTAGCAGCTGTACCCCTGATAAGAGAATGTGACCCAAGTTTAAAGCGCGAAGGTGAGTAATTAGCAGGGGGACCCACCAGCTGGAGCCCAGCCAGGAGGGCATATCATCCCACGGGGTCCACCACCCCTCCCTCTACCAAGCCCTGGTCCGGAGCCCACAGTCCCTCCTCTGTCCCAGTCCCTCGACTCCAGCCCGGGTCAGCCTCCAGCCCTGTCCCCAGCCTGTCGCTGGCCCAGAGCCAGCCGGAGGGCCTGCCGCACAGTCTCCACGTTGTTCAGAACGTTGTATCGACTCAGCGCCACCAGCCGCTCAAACTCCTGGGGCTGGTAGGTGAAGTTCATCATGCCATAGGGGGTGTCTGGCCCATTGATGACAAAGTCGCCACAGGCTTTCTCCTCATCCGTTTGTCGTTCCACACCTGCAGTGGGACGGGGAGAGAGGCCGGGCTAGAGCACTCTGTGGCTAGGAGCTGCCAGTCCAGAAACCCCCCTTCCCTAGAGCATCTGGCTGGTCTGTGGGCTCTGCTTGGGGCCACATCTCAGCTCTCTCGCCCACTGGGAGGAGCCGGGCCGGTGTGCATGCCGAGTCCAGGAAGCAGTGGCCAGCTCGGGGCCTCCAGGAGGTACACCGTCCTGGGTCCAGCACCCCATCAGCACCCCAGGGCTCCGTGGGCCAGACTCAGACCTTCTCCTCACCTGGGGCCAGGTGTGTGCGGAAGGTACGGTTGACCAGGGGGAAGTGCAGCACGATGGGTGAGCGCAGGTCCTCGGCCTTGGCAAACAGGTAGCATTCACGGGGCTCCTTCACGTCCTCAGGGGGCACCTCAGTGCTGGGGAAGGAGATGCCTCGGTCCAGGCAGTACTTCCGTGTCATCTGTAAGACCTGGGCAGACATCCAGCCCTGGGAGCTTCCGGCCCTGCCTGAGGCGCCCTGGACTCACGTGGGCCCAGGCTTCAACGCCAGCCCTGTCTCCCAGCGGCCGAGTGACTACGGGCAGCAAGAAGAGAACCCGCATCTGGGTGTGCAACCTGTCCATCGCCCCACGAGCCTCGAGGGAGCCACTGATAGAGACTCCCTGGAGGGACCCTGATGGCTCTGTTGTCACCATAGCAACAAAGGGACCGCAAACCTGAACCCAGGCCCAGATAGGAGCAAGGAATCCTATCAGGAACAGCAGGGCTCAGAACAGGGGTCTTCTCTTCACCGGGATAAAGGCTCCTGGGGACTCCCTCTGGCCTCCTCTCCTGAGCCCACTCTGCTCCATCACCTCAGCAGTCCTCTTTCTCCAGCTGGGGAGGCCAGTGCCGCTAGCGGTGTTCGCAAGGTGCCTGCCCACAGCTCAGCACCCAGGCCCTTCTCAAAGGGCGATCCCCCAACACCCAGCCAGGCTGCCTTAGCAAGGACCCCCCATCCCGCACCGTACCTCAAAAGGGGCATCCAGGGAGTAGTCGAAGGACAGAATGAGGTCCACGGCTCTCTGCGGCTGCAGGCTCAGCGGGAACGGAGAGTTGATGGCAAAGCCTCCATCCACCAGGTACAGACAGTCCCGCATGGGAGTGAGCTGGTTGGGGAAGGCATCCGGGTGCGAACCTGCACAAAGACAAATGCTTGCTCTTTGCAGCAGCCCTCTTCTCTGCGCACTGGGAACGCCCCACTGTTGAGAGCTCTCCTCTTCCTACAGCCACGGGGTCTCCCACCGCAGCCCCCGGCCTGCCTTCCAGCACAGTCATCACAGTCCTTCCCCCACTAACCCTTGGGCAGCAGGAGCCCCCCAGCCCCCAGGTCAAAGGGCAGCACTGGCCCCAGGGAGCCAGAGGCACAGGCAACAGGCGGGACCCCACCCAGAGCAGCACCCACCTTTCCAGGCCAAAAACTCCCTGCCAGACACATAGTCCTTGTGCAGGCAGAGGCCCTGGGTGAAGTTCGAGTTCGGGGCTGAGGTAAAGCGGTAGGTGAATATGTCCAGCACAGCCTGGGAGAAGGGCCCTTGCGGGGTGAAGAGCCTGGTTTGCAGCCTCGCTGGGTCGTGCAGCTGGAGCTTCTGGTGGTCGTCTAGGTGGGGGTGGGACGGTGAAATACCGTGAGAAGCCCTCCTTTGTCCAGCGGCCCTCACATCTCAGGGGAGCCCCTCTGTCTCCTCCCCACGTCTCTCCTCCTTCCCCACCCCGCCTCCCAGGTCTCTGACCACTGCTTCCCCGAACTCCTTTTAAATGACTTTTTCTTTCATGTTCCCCACGTTTTAAAAGTTGACATGCACGTATTTAAAAAGTTGAAAGTTGACATTGCATGTATTAAACAACATCACCTACCCTTAAAGTTGCATATGCAACTTCCAGTCAGAATTTCACTCATTAAACACCCACTGAAGAGTTACCATGTGCTGTGGCGGCCACTGTGCTGGGCACGGGGATGCAGAGGTGAACAGGGCCTGACCCTGGCCCTCCAGGGCTCACGGCCTACTTAGGGGAGAATCTAAAGAGGTAATAAATGGTGACAGTGTCCCGAGGTAAGGACAACATGGGACGTGCCTACGGTTCTAGGGAACCTTGGTGGTCAGACCCTCGATCAGCCTGGAGGGATGGACTGGAACAGAGACGCCCCCTGATCAAAATGATGTCTGAGCTGAACTTTAAGAACTGAACAAAAGTTATCCAGGGAAGAAAAGTGGGAAAGGTCTTCTACGCATCAGGGAGCTCATGGGTCATTTAAGGAGCGGGCTGAAGGGGAGCTCTGAGGTGGGGGGACAGAGTGTCAACCAGATACCCAGTGGCCCTGGGCTGAGTTGATCTAATGGGAGCCCAAGTGGAGAATTAAAGGCACAGGTTTATTACAGAGCATTCACAACTCCCACTAGGTTTTCTGACATGGGCTCCCCACCCCTTAGCCTCTCTGTAGACCTCTGGGCATCCAGAGACCCTAAGCTAGAAGTCATTTTCTCAATATTTCTCTGAACCGAATAGGACATCCAAGTCCTTCACTGCCCCCTCCCTCATTCCTCATGCCTCTGCCAGGGCCCTGTTGCTGGAAAGAGGTATTGCAGGGGCTGGCGGGGGTCGGGGGAGGGGAGGTTTGGGGGAGCAGGCTCTCTGCCCTCACCTGTGATGTTTACACTGCCTCTGCACCTCTGTAGGAAGCCAAGACCTGAGCCGGTGGTCTTCAGGAAGATCTCATCCAGGCTGGCTGCAAACGCGCTGCCCCATATACCTAAGGAGAAAGGCAAAGCCCCAGGCCCTCACAAGTCCTCCACCGGCGTCACCAACTCAGGGCCCGGTGCCTGCCCTGTCCCCTTGTCCCCAGGCCTCTGGCCTAGACTCACCCTGCAGGTAGCAAATCCGGGGCTCGGGGCGGAGCTGCAGCAGTCGCCCCATGAAGAACTCTGAGCTAAAGAGCTCAGTGGGAACATAAGCGCCATACTTGGGTAAGCCGACCTCATGGGGGGTGAACTCGCACCACTCTGCGGGCGCAAAGAGAAGGGAATGTCACCAGGGGCTTCCCGCCAGGACCCCATGCTTCCCCCGAGCCCTTGTGCCTGGGCAGGAATCTTTGCCTTGTCAAGAGCAGGAGGCAGCAAGCCCACTGTGCTCCAAGGCTCCCACCTGAGCCCTGACAGCCCTGGCCTCTACATCCTCACACCGACCATTGCTCCCACCGGCTTCCTAGGTCCCCACACCCGGGCACCTGCAAAGTCTTTCCCACTGATGTTGCTGCAGACGTTGACACTGGCGTAGATGGGGTAAGGGTTCTGGCCCTGGCTGACCGCCTCCTGCTGGTCAGACAGCTTGGCAGGATTTTCCTGGTCAGGAAAGAAGGGAGGTCACTTGGGCTTTAGGGAGTTCCCTTTCCCCACCCCCATGGCCTGAGGCTCGGCACCCTGCAGGTGTGGCGTGCCCACGAGACTTTGGTTGCTAAGGCCAGGGCTCTAGAGACAACTCTCTAAGGGACAGGCTTTGGGCTGCAGCAGAGGTGAGGCCACATGGGGTTCGTGCAATTCCAGGGGCTTTGGACCCCCTTCCTTCCCATTCAAGAAAGCCTATCAGAACCCAAGGGAGTCAAGTGACATTTTTAAATGAATAACTGGGGCTTCCCTGGTGGCGTGGTTGTTGGGAGTCTGCCTGCCGATGCAGGGGACACAGGTTCGTGCCCCGGTCCGGGAAGATCCCACATGCCGCAGAGCGGCTGGGCCCGTGAGCCAGGGCCGCTGGGCCTGTGCGTCCGGAGCCTGTGCTCCGCAACGGGAGAGGCCACAACAGTGAGAGGCCCGCGTACCACAAAAAAAAAAAGGAATAACTGAAAATCCAATCTACTTTCTTTGAAAAAGTAAATCACTAGAAAACATGTATTCTTTTCTTAGACATCACATTCATAACAGATAGCCACACACCAGTGGGCCAGGCCCCGCAGGGCCCCAGGGCTGAGAACCCCGCTCAGCTCTAGTCTCATCTCCCGATGCATGCTGGGCCTGCAGTTCTAGGAGAAGCCAGGTGGCGTGAATCATGTCTGCTTGGCCGTCGGGCTGGAGTGGCATTCTGCCTCAGCAGGAGGTTGAAATCATTTGGGACACTTTCAAAGCACACTTGTACTAGGGCTCGACCCCTCACCAACAAAAACCAGTATCTCTGGAAGTGAGACCTAGGCATGGTGTTTTTGGAAAGCTGTACAGGTGATTCTAATATACAGACAGACCTGAGAACAGCAGACCAGCCTCTCCCTCCCAGGGAAGGTGAGATGAAGCATGTCAGCCCACCCAGAGATCCCACCCCTTGCCCCCAGGGAGCTCAGACTTAAAGGATAGCTTTGCAAATCTCAGATCTTAGCCTAATGGGTAAGGCAGAACTAAGTGCTGGTGGGGCAGGGTGGACAGGAGCTATGCTCATCTATTACCTGCTCTCCTCTTACCCCCTGGTATAGGAAATATTCAATGAGAAGCCCCCAGAGGTCGACGAGGGAAGCGCTGTGGCCCCTGCTTTCCCGCATCCCCAGCTCCTGGGCATAGTACTTCAGGCGTTCCCTGGACATTGCCCCCATCTTACTGCTGCAGACCCGCGCCTGGGCGCGCTCAATAGGGCCCTTCAAGGCCACCTGCGACCAGCCTGGGTCCTTGTAGAGCGTGGAGATGCACCTGGGCATGGAGGGAATTAGGAGCGTGGGAGCACAGTAAGGGGAGAGAGGGATACAAGTGTCTCTGAGTCACCCCTCCTCCCCCATCCCTTGCACCCACTGGCCTGCACCACCCACTCAGAGGGCCCTGGGGACTCAGTCCCTTACTGCCCTTCCTGACCCCTTTGGATCCCCGCCCCTCCCCACCAGATCACCAGGTCATACCTCTGCCTCTTCAGGGCTCTCCTTTTTTTTGCCCTGCCCCTACCTCACTTACCAGGTGGACCCAGAGACTCCACTCAGATAGGTCACAGCGTCCAGGACGCCGAGCTCCTGTAGCCCGGCCAGGCTGCCGTAGAGGGAAGACATGGCTCGGGTTCCACCTCCCGAACCCAGCACGGCCACCACAGGCACCTGGGCACAATAATAATCATGATAACATCTACCCCCACTATTGTTCATATATTATTGCTTAGCATATCAGATATTGGTCTAAGAGCCCAACTTGTATTATCTCTTTCAGCCTTCAAAGAAACCCAATGGCATCCCCACTTTACAGGTGAGGAAACTGAGGCACAGGAAGGTTAGATAATGTGCCCGCAATCATACCATCAGTAAGCAACAGGCTGTCAGACTGAAGCAGTATAACCTCAGAGATGGCTCTTAACATTACACCAGGAAAGTATGTACCTGGGAGGTATATTGGATTCACTCAAAACAGCTAAAGCAGGGTTTCGCAACCTTGGCACTGTTGGTAATTTTGGACCAGATAATTCTTTATTGTGAGGAACTGTCCTGTGTGTTATAGGACGTTTGGCAGCATTCCTGGCCTTCACCCGGCAGATGCTGGTAGCATCCCTCTCCCCTCCCCTAGTTGTGGCAATGTCTCTAGACAGTGACAAATGTCCCCTAGGTGGGTGGGGGGATGAGATTGCTCCCAGCTGAGAACCACAGAACTGAAGTGACAAAGACCAGCAGGCAGCCTGACCTGCCCCAGACATGGGAGGTCCCCAGATGTCTCTTCGGGATCAGAGGTGCCTGGTGGGATCAGACTAGAAGCTGTTGGGCTGCTCAGCTTTTCTACGAAGGTTTGGTTCATTCCACCCCAGACTTCCGGTTCCTTTCCCTGTCCTTCCTTTCTTCCCCTGTCTTGAAAAAAATGCTCCCTGGCCATTGCCCCACAAGGTCACTGTCCCTCCAGAGCTCTGGAGGAGACAGAGCTCCCTGAAGGCAGGTCTGTGCCCTCTCTACCCTCTACCCACAGAGCGGAGATGGGGCACAGAGCAGGCATTACCAGATGAGCAGTAGGCTTGCTCAGCTTGTCAGCACTGGGCACAGGCTATGTCTCCTTGGACATTTGCAGCCAGAAGGAAGCCACCAGCCTGTTCCTGATTTACCACAGGTCTCCCCCTCAGTACTCACTACCTTTCCTCCTGCCTCCACTTCCAAATCCCTTTGTCCTGTTATGGACTGAATTGTGTCCTCCCCAGATTCATATGTGGAAGCCCCCATGTGACTCTCTTTGGAGAAAGAGTCTATACGGAGGTAATATAGGTTATGTGAGGTCATAATGGTGGGGCCTTAATCCCATAGGACTGGTGTCCTTATAAGAAGAGGAAGAGAGAGAGAGATTCCCACAAACCCCTGCACGTGCACAGAGGAAAGGCCCTGTGAGGACACAGCAAGAAGGTGGCCGTCTACAAGTCAGAAAGAGGCCTCGTCAGATAACAACCCTGACGGCACCCTGATCTTGAACTTCCAGCCTCCACGTGAGAAAATAAATGTCTGTTATTTGAGCCACCCAGTCTGTGGCGTTCCGTTGTGGCAGCCTGAGCAGACTAATAAACCTCCCTTGGTTGGGGCCCTTCAGCCCTCGTTCATATGGGATCACATGACTCTCCCGACTGTGCCCATCGGCTCAGGCAAACGGGCCTGCCCCCTTCTTCCTCTGGTCCCCGCACTTCCTCAATGCTTCCTGTCACCTCTTAGACACACAGTCCTCTCAAGGAAGGGGTTGGATTTGGTCCCAGCAACTCTGGTGTCTGGCTCCTCCATTCCGTACCTGGTTACTGTCGGGAGCCTGGCTCAATCCCAGCACCTGCTGTAGGGCCTTGGACACGACGTGCTTCCTCTTATCCAGAAACTCCTGTTCCCCGTCACAGAGGTCAAAGCCAAGACGCAGGTCCAGGTCCCCAGAGCTGCCTCAGAGGGGGTGCGGGTGGGGTACTGGGTGACTGTTCAGTAGAGGAGAGCCTCCAGCCAAACCCATTTTCATGGGAGCAGATAGATGCACATTCCGTGGAGCCTCCCAGAAAGATGCCACAGGACCCAGTCACCCCCAACGCCCGCTGAGCCGTAGGCAGAAGAGTCTCCGCGCCGCTCACCTCACTTCTGCCTTCACACTCATGGCCACCTCCTGGCCCTGGAAGAGACAACAGCCCATCCCTGAGCGCACTGAGAGGGACTCGCATTTGCAGCCCCCGTTGCTCTGGTAATTCTGACCCAGGTGTGGACACCATGGCTGGCCTGATTTGACCCCCTCCCCCAGACCTTTTGTGGGGGTCACAGAGCAGGCAGGGGCCCCTCAGGCACCCAGACAGAGCCTTACCTCCCCCAGGGCCACGACATGCTGCTGCTCCCGACCTAGGGCCAGAGAGGAGAGAAGGATGCCCGCCTCGCCCAGCTTGCTGGTCTGGACCTCCAGCTCAGCACTTGGGCTGCTCTGCAGAGAAGAAAACACCCAGGAAAAGGGGCCTCGTCCAGGCTGGATGGATTCTGTCGTCTGCCCCTTCCCAGGCTCCATCACTCACCTGCAGGACCGTGAGCTTCTCTCCCAGCTCCACCTCCAGCCTGGAACTGAGCACCGGGTTCACGTGGAAGGTAAACGTGGCTGGGAGGCCTGCCTCCAGGGGAGGCTGCAGGGGCAAGAGCTGGGGCTTCTCGTAGGCCCCAGGCACTGCCAGCCGAATCTGCCTGGAGCCTGGGAGCAGAGGGCCTAGGTGAGTGCCAGGTGAGGGGGTGAGAGTGGGGGGTGCGTGGCCCGTGATGGTAGCACGCCGAGCAGCAACTCCCCTTTCCTTCCCCTTGGAAGTGCCGGTTCATCGCCCTGCGCACTCTCTGGCAATGGGCCCTACAGACATCATGAAGGACACTCGGGGTCCTATGACCTGCTCTGGTCAGAGCTGGGAGCCTGGGATGGGGACAGCACACACAGTGCTCAGGGAAGGGCCCCTGTCCGGAGCTTATGGGACTTTGGATTTTGAGATTATTATATTAAGTATATAAAATATAATTCTATAATTATCATATTATAATGATCGTATATTAATTATTACATTAATTACCAGTTTTCAACTGGTAGTTCCCCCTCTCTTGCTCCATTCAAGCCCTGTGCTCATTGCCTTGGGGGAGGTTTGTGGCCAGAGAGAAAGCAAACAGGCTGCACATTGTTTCCAAAGCATAAGCCCTTGGGAGAACATAGAGGGTTTTCAGGGGATGTAAAAGGAAGAAGTGGGTTCGTGGCACAGAGAGGGTCAGCTTGCGGAAGCAGAGGAGAGCCAGCCCTGGCCTCGTGAGGCCAGCTTGGGGGAGGCAGAGGGAGGCCTGTGGGCCCAGGAGCAGCGGGGCCCGCCCTGTTCCTGCAGCTTTCTGGAGAGCAGGCAAGACCCCAGAGAGAAATGGCTACACATGACACCCAGGAAGAGGGAACCCCAGAAGGACCCATGAAAGAGCCCCTAACGCCTCAGGAACCGACGTCCAAATGGAATCCCCATCCCTACATGCCCTCCTTAGCACTAAATGAGACCTGGGGACTTGACATGACCAGGGGTGGGAGGGAATTAGAGAAAATAAGGAAAGAGATCCTTCTCTCATATCACGGTTTACAGACTGAGATTGATAAGGGCTGTTCACAGTCAGAAACAATGGAAGCTGTGGTGGGGAGAGCAGATGGGCCCCGGGTGTCACAGACCTGGGCCTGGGCCTGGCTCTACTGCTTACTGGCTGTGTGACCTTAACAAAGTTTCTTCTTTGAGCCTCAGTCTCATGAATTAAAGGAGGATAATGACTGTACCTACGTTACGAGGTTGTTATGAGGATTAAAAGATAAAACACTGTAAAATGCTTAGGCCAGTGCCTGACTCATAGTAAGTGCGCCATGTTACCTGGGCACAACTCAGCATGCAGGCTCAGACTCCCAGTGTCGGAGAGGACCTTAGCTGTTACGCAGCCTCCCCTCCCCTCCCAAAGCTGGCGCCCCTCCCGAGTGGCTATATCCCCTGTGGCAGGTTGCCATGGCCCCAGTTCTTCACTTCTGGAGGTTCACTGTTTACCATGTGGCCTTGGTTTCTCTCACTAAAGAGGCTGGCTATATTCCTTGCTCTCCAACTTAGAGTCAGCCTTGTGCTTGTTTTGGCTAACAAAATGTTAGTGAGGGCTGTGATGTGACCAAAGGCTCGAAAAGCACTTGCTCATCCGGCCACGCGCTCTTGTACCTCTGCCAATGTCTTAAGAACATGCCCAGGCTTGTCCGCTGGTCACAGGAGGCGGATGAGGGACATGGGAGCAGAGCCAGGTCACTCCACCAGGTCAAGCCCAGCCTAGATCAGCCATGCCCCAGCTGACCACCAGATGTGTCTGCCACTGAGATTTTGTGGGTGTCTTTTGTACAGCAGTAGTTGAACCGATACAGCCTCTGTGCTTGAATACTTCCAGGGATAGAAATTTACTGCTTCTGGAGGCAATCCATGTCATCCTTGGTCAGCTTTCAGCAGTGAAAAATTAACTTTCTGCCCCAGACCCATCTTCTTGAAACCAGCAGTCCCCAATCCCCCAGGAGAGAAGGCAAGACCCAAGGCCCCTGACCAAACTCACCATACTCTTGATGTGGGGCTGTCCCATCTCCCCTGAGGGTGCCCTGGATTCTCAGACATGGTTGAGCCTGAGGAAAGCAGAGGCCTGTGGGAGCCAGACAGTCCACAGGGCCCTGCACAGGGCCTGAACCAGGATGCAGGGAGGGAAGGGTTTCTGGGGCAGGGTCGAGCTAACATCCTTCCCAGGGCCTGTGCCTTACGAGCAGGGGTCTTCTGTCACAGCCCCCCTCCCAGGACTCAGAGGAAGTGGTCCCTGGTGGAAAAGGGGGAGGAGATGAGGGGCCTGACGGTGGCTCCTTGGCAGACTCAGAAGGCCAGGTGAGCAGTGTGCTGTGCACAGGTGGAAAGCCTGGCTTCTGGGCTATTCCATCAGGTGGGAGGCAAGGTGCCCCCTTGTCCCTGGAGGTGCCTCCCCAGCACATCTCCCCTCTGAGGAGGGGTTGAGTGTCCTTTAGGCAAGTGGGCATGATGGGCTCAGTCATGGACTCCCCAATCCCCCGTCCCCCAGCCCTGGGCAGACCCAAGCCGGCCACCCCTACTCACCACCAGGACCCCATTGGTGATGACTTCAGACGCCGGCACCTGGCTACAAAGGATGAGGGGCTTATGGGACACCTGAATCCCTCAAGATGGCTATTACTATAATAATGTAACCAAAGCAGCTGGAAGAGCCTGGGGAGCACGGCAGGTTTGGGGGTAGGGGTGGCCATCAAGGTCAGGACATCCCCTCTCAGGCCAGGCCAACGTAGGACCTGGTGACTGACAGCTGGGAGCTTTGGGTGGGTCTCAGTGTAAATGGGAAGGGTACAGGCTCTACCTGGACTCACCTGTCCTCCAAAACAAATTCCACCTGCAGCTCTTGTGAATCCTACATGGAGGGAGCAAGGGAGCACCAGTTTTCAGAGGTCCCAGAGCCTCAGGACCTTCCCCTCCCACACCTGGTTCTACTCAGCTCCAGCGACTAGAAGGCCAGACTGATGCTGTGGCTGCTCGTGGGCACAGGACAGGGTAGCGACATCGCCACTAGGAGCTCCATCTGTTCAAGGCTGTGGACAGGCGCTGTTCTAGACACTGAGGATTCAGCAGTGACCAAGACACACAAAGCCCCTGCCTTCAAGGAGCCCACGTGTTGGCTTCCCTCAGGGAAGGAGTGCTTGTGGGAAAGCTTTGTGGGGTCATTGTTGCAGGGTGGAGGAGGGTCTGTCTTGGAGGTTGGGCCTGTGCTGATTGGGAGCCCCCTGTGCCAGGGCCTCTTCTCCCGGGACTGGGCTCGTTGCTGGCGCAGGTGGAACCGCTCACCTGGTGGCTGAGTGGGAAGGTGTGTCTGTGCGGTTGGTGGGGCTTGAGGCTCCTCAGGTCAAACAGCAGCAGGGAGAGCTGGTCGCTGTCCAGGACGTCCTTGTCGTAGAGGGTGAGCTCCAGGACGTTCTGGGGGCAGGGCAGGAGACAGGGGGGCCTGAGGCAGGGCGGAGCGCCTGGGAGGAGCCCTCTCCCTCCGCAGCCCCAGCCCCTCGCTGACCCTCACCTTCACGGCACCGTGGACCCGGTAGTGGAAGGTTTCGTTCCATTCAGGGTCATGGCAGTTGGCTACCACCCTTGTCTGGGCCGGGCTGGGGGACGCTGTGTGCAGCCACAGCTGCACGTAGCAGTCTGCTTTGGACACTGTAGGTGGGATGGGGAGGGTTCCTCAGCCTCTAGCTCTTATGGCTGCAAAGGTTGCCTGGAGGAGACTGGGGCTGGACGGGAAGGGGCAGGGGAGGCTGCCCGCATAGCAGGGTGGGGCGGGGAGAGATGCGGGACAGCCCATGTCCTTGACTCCGTCTCCACCAGTTACACCTCCCATTCAACTGAATGGAGATCCTGCTGCAGCCAATTCAAAAGGTCATGTGACAGCGCAGAGCACTGAGTCATTCCCCGAAAGGGCCTGATTCAGGAAACAAGCTCCCGCCCAGTGTGAGCACTGGCGTGGAAACCCCTAGAGAGCAGACGGTAACTTGTGGCAGCAGCAGGCCTCACACGCTCACCCAGGCTGGCAACCTCCACGAGCCAGCCTCAGGGAGGAGGTGGTGGTCTGCACACTGCCTTCCCCTCCAGCTCCCGCAGCCTGCCCTGGGCTGTGGCCCGGGCTCCCTCACCAGAAAGCCCTCCATCCGCTCCACTCTAAACACACATGCACGCTTCAGGCCAGCCCCTGTTGAGCTCTGGGGAGGCCCCAGGGAGAGGAAGGGAGAAAGCATGAAATTGGGGGTCACTCACACAGATCTGCGCCCCGGATATTTCTGGCCCTCAGCACCTTCACCTGGAGGTCATAGTATGGGTGGGTCTCCCGCTGAAAGGACAGAACTCCGGGGACTCAGTTCCAGGAAGCCGGGTGTGAGGCCTGACCTCCCTGCCGAGGTGCCCACCCAGGGCTTCCCTTGTCCCATCGCAGAGCGGCAGCCTGGCCCAGGGTCACTGACGTCACTGTGCCAGGGAACCAGGAGGCCTAGACAGAGCAAGCGCTGGGAGCTGAGTGTGTTGGTGATGAACCTGACCTTGGAATCAGTGAGGCTGGGATGAAATCTAAGCTGCACTGTGGACTAGCTAAATGGCCTTGGGCAAGAGACTTGATTTCCCTGTACTTTAGTTTCTCTGTCTCTAAAGTGGGGGTTATGATGATAATCTCACAGGGTTGTAGCAAGTTTTAAATGAGAAGTCGTACAAACTGCCTGGCATAAGTGCTTAATACATGGAGCAATTTTTACTAATTATGTTTATCATGCACCATGAACATGCAGCCCCCTTGACTACAGTGCTGGGGCTGTAGCTTGAGAGTCAAAGTGAGAGCTGGAGTGATGTGCTTAAGAAGATTAAGTATCAAAAGAGAAAACTGTGATGGACCCCACCCACTAGCTCCTGACAAAGGCTAGAAGACGGCCCAAGAGGGTGCGGGCAGGTAAAGGGAAACCAAGAGTCACCCAGCTGGTACTGGTCTGATGAGTCGCTAAGGAGACGGCAGCTTGGGCTCAGGAGAGATAACAGTAGACTGCAGCCTCCTGGGAGTGAGACTATCTCCTCCAGATCCCAGCGAGTGCCTCATTCCCCCCACTCCCTCAACCCCCAACCCCCATTCTACAGCCAGTCTAGGGCATACCGGGCAAAAGCCAATCAGCTGCAAGTGTCACATGGCTTCCATTTCCTAACCGGGGGTGATTAACTTCAAGATTATTATTATTTGGCCAAGCTCTCTAAGCTCTACCAGGTAATCTGGAGCAAATCGGTCCTGGCCCAGATCAAAATGCATTCCCAGGGCTGGCCCGAGTCTCCACAGGGCCCTGTGCGCCCAGGACTACTCCTCCTGGGGGCACGCCCCGCCAGGGGAGATCAGGTACTTTACCCGCCACCGCCTCCACTGAGGTTCCCTCTTCTGTCTCTTCTGCAGCAACACCGCACCCACGAGAGGCAGCTCCTTGCCTGTCAGCCACCTGGGCCAGAGCGCCCAGAGCATGGCCGGGCAGCCTGGCTCCCGGCAGGAAGCCCTGCCTGTGCTCCTCTGGCTGCACTGGCTGCTGGCTCAGGTCTGACAGGTAGCTGGAGTGGGGAGGGTGGAGCAGGCTGCTCTGCTGAGGACTCACAGCTGAGGCTGGAGGTGGGGTTTGACGAGCTCCAGGAAGTGACTGGAGCCCAGTGTCCTCTAGCAGGAGGGACTTTAGACCCTCTCAAAGAGGATGAGGAACTGGCACTCTGGTTCCCAAACCTAGCCCCTGGTTATCATGGCGCTGCTTATGGAAAATAGATGCCTGCGCCTTACTCCCCAGACGATTTGATTTAGAGGGTGTGGCTAGAACCCAGGTGTTCGTACTTCCATCAAGCCTTTTAGATGATGCAGACACAGGTGGACCAGGGAACAGCAGAGGCAGAAAGTGCTGCATCAGGGGCCTAGGTTCCCCCAGCTATCAGAAGAGACTCAAACTAATACCTTTCAAGTCCCACCTTCCCCACAGCTCTTAAGCAGAAACATGGAAATCTCTGGTTCCCCACAGTGTTTCATCTGGACTCAAAGGTGTTTCTAGTCCCTCAGGGCCTCTCTCATTTGTTCCGCAAACACTGAGAGGCTGCTATGTGCCATACACTGCACTAGGCCCTGGTCCAAAGGTGAGGAGGGCCCAACCGTATCCTGAAGAAATTCAGACTCTTGATTCCCCGCTGTGGCTTCTAACCAGGACCCTTTCCTGAATCCGCGGAAATACCTGGATGGTCCAGGAACAGAAGTAGGGATATGGTCAGGTGGTATCGATAAGGGCAGGTAAAAACCGGCCTGCCTGTCCTTAAGCTACCAGAGATAAAGGCTTTAGAGGGTCCCCTTTGACCATCGTGAGCCTTAGGCTGCAGGTGGTGTGTAATGCTCCCTTTTCTGCAGACCGCAGCCACCTAGGTGGCCAAGACAGGCACAGTTTCTGGAAGAAAGGATCTCTAGAGCAGTGAGCTGTTGGGAGATATATTTCTTTTCCTCAACCAAGACCCAGTCATCTCCACTCCCCTCCCCAGTGACCAGGTTGGGAGACTGAAAAGATAACATTCCAAAATGAGGTGATTCAACTCTGAAATGAACTCTGCAGGCAAGTTCAGACCAGAAATTCCCAGAACTGCTGTTGGCAAGGTTCCAAGGGGGAGGGCCTGTTTTTGCTTAATTTGGAGCATGCGGCCAAGACCTGTGCTGGGGTCTCAGAAGTGCCAGAGTTCCAGCCTCTTAGTGACCTGTATGCACAATGTGGAGGCCCACGGAGCCACAGCAGGGGAGCCTGAGAGAGGGGCACGGAGCTAGCTAGGGACAGAGCCAGGCCTGGCATCCAGGACCCTTGACTGATTAGAGTGCTTTCTGGGCTGTACCACACTCTCGCCTGGAAGTCATCGGACCCATGCCTCAAGAAAGTCACACCTCTTAGTCCCAGATGTTTTTTCATCCCCAGGGAAAACTTGGGATGGCCAGAGATGGCACCGGAGGACACAGAAGGATCAGATTGCCTTTTTGGAGCTGGCCAAAGTGGACCAACACTTTTCCGCTTCTCAAACATCCCTAGGTCCCTTAATCCCACCAATTCCACATCTTTCCTGCCTGTCCCAGTCATTATGAGCTGCAGGAAGAGGAAGGGGCACAAGGTCCTAATATGTGAAGCAAAGGGCAAGTAGTTTGGATCAGCTAGAGTTGCAGTATCTACTAGCACTTTGTGATGCTGGAAATGTTCTGTATCTGTGCTGTCAATACACACTAGCTGTACTGGACGGCACACATCAAGACAGCGGTGTTATACTGACTTTTTTTTCTCAGTCACTAATTGGATTAGTCTTCTCGATTATTTATTAACATCTCGTTGTTATTTTCATCAAATCCCACAGGAAAGGGGGAAAAAGAGACCCAGACAGACTTGGTTTCATACTTCATGATGTTTATTATGAAGATCGTCGTCGTCCTCACTACAGAGCTTTCATCTCCAGCCTTCTCCACACCTCCACGGAGGGCAGAGTCCAGGGAAGGAGAATGGAGTTCAGGAAAACTGGGTCGTTTATATATTCCAGAAGGGAAGGAAACACACATTCTTCATTCTACTGCTTCAAACACGTGTGCCACACACGTAGGGAGATACGCACACCGCAGGCGGGGAAGGCAGGGCGCGCGGGGCGGGGCCAGTTTCTGCGGCTGCTCCCATGGGAAGCTCAGTCCCAGCTGCAAACAGGGCCCCGGGGAAGCACTGCATCTTAGCGGGGGCGTGGCCAGTGGGACATGGATCTTGTGAAGCTCTGCTTGGCTGCCTCTGTGAACGATGCTGACGGCCCTCACTCCATCCCTTCAGACCCTCCGCAGAGAGCGTGCCTGGGAGGAGCCTCATCTACACCAGCAAGTCAGGCTACAACACAGGCCCCAGATAGCACGGTGCTGGGGTTTAGAAAGGACCTCATGTCAAGGACAGGCCACTAGAACAGTGTCAGTATCGGGTGCTGTCACATACCCTCATTACTGTTAGAAACACTGGGGTAACAAGACGGTGCATCTACAAAATCCCCAGGAGGACAGGATGCAGGGCCGCTGTCCCTGTGTCCTCAGCCTGCAGTGCTAGGCACCCCTCCTGTGGGCTCTAGAGCCCCGTGGGAGGCAGGGTCTCCCCCGGACACAAACAAGTGCTCAGCGGATCTGGCGGTGAGTTATGTCACAAACTCCTGCCGCCAGCAGCTCGGCCGACTCTCGGCTGTCCCCGAACACCTCACAAGCACGCCCTACATCACGTCAGTGTCAGTTCCTGATCTGATTGTTCTCTGACTGCAGGAGAGATCCACCTACCTACCATATCCCAGAGCCATCCTCCAACCCCTGCAAAACAAAGCTGGAGAACAATGGCCAGGCCAAGGTGTAAGGTAGGCGGATGACACTGGCTGGGAAGAGAAAGGTGCCCAAAGCACAAAGCACTCTGCTCAGAAAGCCTAAACCAACCTGCCCTGGGTGGCTGGTGGATGAACCAGGAGCAGGGGCCTCTGCGGACACCTGCCAAGAGGTCACATACCCAGGGCAGCCCACCCTTAGAGCAGCCGTCACACTCGGCCCCGAGGGATCGAGAATGAGGCTCTCCTAAGCTTCCAGGCATAGTGCATACAGTCCAGGGAGGATCTATTTACAACACACCTGACAATCGAGCAAAGTATTCCTAGAAACTGGGACTTCCTCTTGCTTCTCATTTTACCTTGTTTAAAATACTAGTTATTGCCGGTATCAGGAAAATAGGAGAGAAAGCCTGGGTGGAGAAGTGAGGGGTGAGATAAAGGAAGAAAATAAGTAGAAAGTGAAGGACACTGAAAAATAAAGAGCCGAGTGGGGAGACTGGTGGGGGGACACAGGGTCAGTGACTACAAAGTGACCAGCATTACCTAGAGGACAGGCCATTTGGCCTTTGCAGCCAGAGGAGCTCTGGTACTCCAGGACTTCAGGCAGCCGAGCTGAAGGCTCCTGTGAAGTCCTGAATGTATCTTAATAGAAAACTTGGAATAAACAACCCCAGGGTTGCAAACACTTGAGACAGTTTCCTTATTCGGATGATTGGAATGCAAAGACAGGATGGTGCCCTTCCCCATCTCCTCCGGTCCAAGCAGGTATAAAATTCTCCGGAATTGCCTGCAACAAAATGGTATATAAGGTGTAACTAATTGCTTTTTCTATTAAAAGTCTGGCAACGCCAGAACACAAGTCTCATTGGTTCAGAGATGTTCCACGGCACAAGGTAGCCAGTAGAGTCCAAATGGGGAGACTCCTGGTGGTGGCAGCAGCCCCCGATTCCCCAGGCCGGGGCTCTCCCCGCCTCTGGGATAGCCGAGTTGTCCGCTGCTCAGTCTTCGGCTTGCTGGGCTCAGGTGTCAGCTGGGTTGACCTCTTTGGAGCAGAAATAGTGCACAACCACCCCATTGGGGTATCTTGCAAATGCACTGCAGGGAAGGAAAATGACCTGGGAGTGAGGACTGCCTCTAAGAGAAGACCACTTCTTACTGGAAAAGGCACCTTACCGGGTGCCATTCCAGAAGCCGCCCACCCTAACCACAAAGAACAGCCTGGCATCTCTGGATTTACGTAGCCACCATCTCCGTCAAATATCCGAACAGAGGATGAAGTCCATGCCATTTGAGCGCATGGGGATATTTCTTACTGTCATCAATGTGCAAGCATAGGCAGATGGGGCAGTACCCCAGCCTGGCTCAGCAGCAGCTGAGAGCCGACTGCTCATCAAAACAAGTTTTGGGCTAATTTTTTTTTTTAATATTTGTTTATTTATTTGGTTGCACCAGGTCTTAGTTGCAGCAGGTGGGCTCCTTAGTTGCGGCATGTGAACTCTTAGTAGCAGCATGCATGTGGGCTCTAGTTCCCTGACCAGGGATCAAATCTGGACCCCCTGCACTGGGAGTGCAGAGTCTTATCCACTGCGCCACCAGGGAAGTCCCTTGGGCTAATTTTAACAAAGGACAGCGAGTCTTTCTAAAGAAAAGGATTCTTCCAGCCATATAAGAAAGAGGACAAATCATTCTTCTTTGAAGGAAAGGGGACTGACTGGAGTATATGCCTTAAAACAGAATGATGCTGCCTCAGGATTTTACTCAAGTCATGAGGCAGCAGGTTGAAAGACCTTTTTCTTCCTTCAGAGGTGTATCCTTAAAAGATAAGGACTTCCTGCCTCACACACCCCCTGGCTACATCACAAAGTTTTGCTGCCAGAGGGGAAGGGCTTTATGGACAAGGAGTCAAGAGCTCCATGCCATACATTTCAGGCCTTTAAATTCTCAAACCCCCTCCACACCCCCGTCAGACAACGTGGACTGCCCTCTGGAGACTCAAGAACTAAAAGCGGCCCAGATAGTCTGCAGCTGCACTTTCCTCTTTGGTTAAGGGGCATAGGGACATTTAAATCCATCCTGAGCGTGACCCACATCAGAGCCGACAATGCATAGCTGTGGATGAGGCTCACCTGTTCCCAATCTTCTTCTTACACACCATGCACACCTTCTCCTCTGTGATGATGCACTTCACCTGCTGGTGTAAAATCCGCTCTTC